TTCTACTCTAAAGTTGTGAATGAATGTCCATATGCATCGTATGTTTCTATTTCCTTCTATTTGTGATTGTTGGAGGCGTTGTGATACAAACAATACTTGACAAGGTTGCGTGTTTATGTCCGTGGCTCCTACTCCGGAGTATAAAGTTTCAGGTCAAGGAAAAATTGATAATGGATGCACGTTGTGAACTTTTTCCAAAAGTTTATAGTTTTTGTTGAAGTCCTCGATGGCGTCCACCACTGTCAGTCATAACACCCGGTTCTGTCGAGAACATCCCCACTGCCCTGTCCATCAGGTCGCAGGATGGTCCTGCAAAGGTATGAGGTTTTTTGTGCCTTCTAGAGGCTTTTTCCTCATGTCGTAGTCAGTTGCAGCGAAGTCACATAGTTAGGATGTCGTGACCTCATTGGCCATTTGGCCTACACTGGTGGGTGGGCTTCTTCGTCCACCGTTCACTTTCTCTCTTCATCTCTTTTTTTACGAAAACCCCCGATCTCCTCAACTACGCGTCAACGAGCGCGACTCCGAATTGTCCAACAGTTACCGGATTAAGTACGTTTTGGACGAACTTTACAAGTTCCAAGCACGCAGTCTTTTGCAACCGGACATGCGACTGAGAACATCGATAAACATTTTAGGTCACCAAGTCAAAATGCAATTGATTTCGTAATGGACAAGCTCTGTTGCAAAGAAGTTGACGCTATGGTATACTTGAGCTGTACTGACAAGGAATTGAGTCATTTAGTAAGTGTATCAACTTTCAAATGAAAACAGGTTTGCCAACAAAACATCGCAACATTTCCGAATAGCCTGAAGTTTGTATGCAAAAAAAATACTTTAAGTATACAAAAATCAAGTACTTCGAAGTACTAGTATAATGCACTATAACAAAGTCCGTAACAACCCGAAGGACTTGAAATGGGCCGCGCCAATTGATGGCTATTGGGGGGCTGGACAATAGAACCAACCAACACAAAATCACCGACGGTAAAGTTGGCAAGCTTGACCTGCGTTTTCTTGTTTCGTCTTTGGCGTGCTTGAGACGATGTTTCTCGGCACGTTCAGCCACATCACGATGTAAATCTTCCTATGACGTTTTCAACTCAGCCATATGCTGACGCCGGTCTTCGCCAAGCCAGTCGACAACAAAGACATCCTTAGTCTTCGGATGTACGAATCCAGACATCGGCGTCTTCGCAGGGAGTCTCGTGAACGCCGTAACTGGAGCAACTCCACCGAGTCGATCAGCTGGTTGGTGGTTTAGCGCACCTTGCACAAGAGGAAGTACCAGCGGCCAATCGTCGACACGCAGATTCGTTCAACAACGCCTTGCCCGCACGCAACACGAGGTGGTTGACGACTTCAATTGTGCCATTGGTCCAGGAGCTGTAAGCCATCGTAATGTGGTGGTGCGCACCTACCATTTTACGAATCTTCTCGATGACTTCGTTTTTGAAATGTGAACCGCCGTTGGTGACCCACGTGTCGACGCACCCATAAACGTGAACCAGGACATTAACGCTGCTGCCGTCGCACTCGCATCGGCAGTGTCGGAGGCATGCAGGTGGACAAATCCGCTCATGTCATCCTTGATAACCAGGACGTATGCGGTCCCGAACACACCGTAGTGGTTCGCGGGTCGTCGTAGATGAGGACGAGTTCCCCGAAGTAATGTCCCGCGTACAGATGCGTGATCATGCGCTCCTTGCCATCGATGAACTTTGTCACGGCAGCTTCGCCCTTGGCGATCATGAAGAAGCGTTCGCCGCGGTCACCTTGCTTCACGATACTCTCGCCATCCTTGAACGTGATCGGTTTGAGTGCTTCGACTTTGGCATCGTCAACCAGTCAAAGTGGATCAACTCATTGGGTTTTTGGCGTGCAATGCTGATCCCAAAGGACGGGGTTCCATGTCACCGTCGACTTGCAGGCACTGTAGACAGGCCCGGACAAACGTGTCAACATCTTGAGCCAGGAACTTCTACACGAACTTGTCGGACACAGTCTGCGTTGTCGCAACGATTCGACAATGGACAGCAGGGCCTTGATGGGCAATGACGCACAACCGCTGTTGCAGGTCCACTGCACTGTCTGGGATCCAAATTCGACCCTTTTCGTCCATGTGAAATGATTCTCCTTCGTTCCACACAACGCCGGTCGGTGTACTCTCCCCCCCTTCAATGGCAGATGTCTGGGCAGCCAAAATCGAGGCTGCCGTAGGCCATTCGAAATCCTCTCGTTGCAACGGAGACACCACGTGCACGAGTTTATGGACATGCGGCACCGGCGGAGCTGGTGGAATAGAACCACATCGACTCAGCAATCTTCCCACACATTCACGTCGCCCGGGAGACACTCAATCGTGTACGGGAAAGTGGACATGATCAGCGCCCAACGCTGAGGCTCGTCGGATTGGTACTTTGCGAGATGGCCGTTCGAACCCGACGGATTGAACATGTACACCAGATTTCGGTGATCCGTGAACAAACGGAAACCACCTGGACGGACGATCAGGTAGTCAAGGCGCTTGCACGACTCCACGACGGCGTTGGCCTCTTTCTCAACAATCGGCCATCTAGCACTGATAAACGCGAGCGGTTGATGCCGTTGGTCTTCGAGGGGCAAGGACAGGTCTTCCACAGGACCTTGAGTGGCGACCGCACCCCAAAACATATCGCTTGCATCCGTGAAAACACAAACTTCCATGTCCTCCCGTGGGTGCGCCAACGCTACCACATTCATCAGCTTGCATCATGCCGTCGAAGCACTTGTCATGATCACTCGACCAGCCGACCGCATAAGCGCCACACGCGCCAGGGCAGAATTCTTCTAGCTTCCAGTCAGCTTTGCGGCCACGTCCAACAAACGGAGCAAAGGGTTCACCAGCTTGTTGTAGTTGTGGATACTGGCACGTTCCAGTTAGTGGCGCAGACAAACTGTTGTAGATGGGCACCAGCCGTCGGAGGCGAAAGGTCGACGAGGCCTTGGATGCGACTGGGGGAATGCGTATCGCCGGACGCCGAGATGATTTTACCGCACCTCCGCTTCTCGGAGAAAGCAGTTACTCTTTTTGCGGTTCAGCTTCAAGCCGAACTGAGCACACGTGGACAGCACTCGGTCGAGTAAGTCTAGTAGTTCCGAGACATATTTAACCGATCCGAGGAGGTCGTCAAGCCACGCGAGCAGGCCATGGAACAATTCGCCCTCTAACAAAGGTGCACGACTGACTGGCAGTAGGCCACCGCGTCGGTCTGGGCCATAAAGACACGTGTCGACGTGTACACGCCAAAGGGGGTCATAAAGGAGAAATACTCCTGCGACTCGGAATGCAGCGGCAACTGCCAGTATCCCTTCGTCCAGTCGAGGGTAAAATACGCCGTAGTGCCCACAAGACACGCCATGGCACTGTCGAGATTGGGCATCGGCCATGGCTTGGCCTCAGTGCACGCGTTGATCGGACAACTGTCGATCGTCATCCGCAGCGCCCCCAACTCCTTTTTTGGCACGATTCTAGGCGCCGCGGCCCATGTCGCCCGATTGTTGGCGTAAACCATGCCGTTCGCTAGCAGTGCATCCACATCAGTATCTTCATGTCGAATAGTATGGCAGCCGCCAGGCGCTTCTTCAGAATTTCCAAGTCTTGGGGTACTTCTCCGAGCGCCACGTTGAACCACGCAATCCATTCTGCCTCCGTGACAGCATTGTGATCTTTGTTCAGATCCAGCAGGGCAATGCGCCGCTTGGAAAACGGGTCCATACACGGACTGACAGGCATAGCAAACGGACGCGTAACGACACATTGCATCGAGTTAATATGCGACAAGAACATCTGGTACTCGCGCATAAAAACACGTCGTTCTGCCTTCGTCGAGCCCTTGAAGGTCGGAGCTTTCGGGCGAGCTGGCGCATTCCACACCTGACCGCGGCCGTAACCCATGTCACTTCCCATGTTCATTTCGCCCATAGGGCTTGCGAAACTCCCCGTTACGTTCGGACCACCGGTTTCAGCATCATCATGCTGGTCCCTGCCCTCGATTCGAGAACGTGGAACAGCATCTTCCTCTGCGGTCGGCGCGGCGGAAGGATACATGGCTGGTGGTTCTTGGTACGAGGTGGTAAACACGATGCCACCTCGCTGTGGCAGCCATTCGTCAACTGGACGTGGCTGTTGACATCGTGGGGATCGGAAAGGTTTCGCCACCTGGCGGCGGGCTTGACGGCCATGCGGCTCCTCTACGCGGTCACGCGAACGCGAGCGGGCTTGTTGCCGGTTGGACGCTTCGTCCTCCGACGAACCATTGCGTACCATCCCGTAGTGTTCGACTAAGCTTGGATGGTTCCAAACTTGAACAAAGATAACTTTGTGCTTCGTTCAACGCGGTTTCCGACCGCGAACTCTTTCAAGGCAACAGGCAAATTCAACACTGGTATTCAAGAGGGCCCTGCCCTAATGACTACTGATCTCCCCCCGACTTCGAAACGGGTCAAACTTGATAATTTTTGTAAACTTATATTCCTCGGGTATATTCAAATGTTATTGACAAAATCACACTGAGGTTGTATTATCAAAATTTCGGCAAATCAGG